CCGCCGAGGCCCGTTCGGGCCGGTGGCGACAGGCCCCCATGTGACGCACACGCTAGGTCAAAAATGGCATCTTTTGGGTTTTAGTTTAACTACAACTAGGTGCATGATAACAATGTGCAACCTAGGTGCCCTACCCCTTGGGCCAAAGCTTCACTAAGCCCAAAAGAACCACTCATGAACATTCCAACCTCTAGCCCACTTATAATACCCTACCAAACAAGGTCGTATATTCTAAAATACCCCAAAATACAAGGGTAAAATAAGAAATACAAACAAAATAAATTCTACTATCTAAGGTACCCAAAATACAAGGGTAAAATAGGAAATAAAATAAAAGGAAATAAATCCTATACTCGTAATATCAAGGCTTAGGAGGTGATCAATAATCTACACACATGATGAGCATGGCTCTAGGCATGGTAGCTCCTCTATCATCCTTCACTCTCCTAGCCATGGACCTAGTGATGGATCCACATGTAGCTCCAAGAATGGTCTTGCATCATCCACTCCTTCTTGCGAAGGATCTGACCTCAAATCAACATCCTTATCCTTAGTGTTAGTTGTCCCTACAAAGAGAGTAAGATCACAAACTTTAAAACTAGGGCTCACACCATAATTAGAGGGAAGACGTAGCCTATATGCATTATCATTAATTTTTTGGAGGACTTGGAATGGAACATATCCGCTTGGATTGAGTTTGGACATCCTTTGACTAGGGAATCTATACCTCCTCAAGTGAAGCCAAACCCAATCCCATACCTCAAAAGTTATCTTTTTCCTCCCTTTGTTGTTGTAATCAACATATTTTTTAGTTTGTTTTTCAATTTGGTTCTTAACCTTTCCATGGTATTTCTTGACAAACTTAGACCTAGATACTCCTTCTTTATGAAATAAGAAAGTAGTATTTGGGAGTGAAAGTAAGTCAAGAGGTGTGAGAGGGTTAAAACCATAAACAACCTCAAAGAGGAAAAGATTAGTAGTCTAGTGGACTACTCTATTATAAGAAAATTCTATATGAGGTAGATAGTCATCCCAAGACTTTTTGTTGCCTTTTAGAAGTACCCTTAATAGTGCGGATAGAGATCTATTCACTACTTCAATTTTTCAATCCATTTGGGGATGACAAGTAGTGGAATAGACAAGTTAGGTTCCTAGACTTTCCCAAAGGGTTTTCCAAAAGTGGCTAAGGAACTTTGAATCCTTATCTAACACTATGATCTTGGGTAAACCATGCAATCTAACAACTTCTTTGAAGAATAATTTAGAGATGTAGCTAGTATCATCTACTTTGTGGCATGGTATAAAACGGGTCGTTTTGCTAAAACTATCCACAACCACAAAGATAGAATTAAAGCCCTTTTGGGTCCTTGGGAGACCAAGCATAAAATTCATAGGTGGGATAGTTCAAGGTAGGGTCATGAATTTTTTCACTAAATAAGCAATAGGATAGCCCCTTTGAAGTAACACAACAACTATGCCAATTCCAGATGCATCACATTCTAACTCAAAAGGTTTGAGAAAATTTTGGTAAAGCTAGAATGGGTGCATTGGTGAGTTTCTCTTTTAATTTTTCAAAAGCTTTTTCTAGTTCTTCCCCCCAAATGAAAGGGACATCCTTCTTAACAAGTTCATTTAGAGGTGAAGCAAGTGTGGAGAAGTCTTTCACAAATCTCCTATAGAAGCTAGTTAGACCGTGAAAGCTCCTAACTTCTCCAACACTTTTTGAGATCAACATGGACACCATCTTTGCCAACTATGAATCATAAAAAATTCACATTTTCTTTACAAAAAGCATATTTTTCCAAGTGGGCGTGAGGTGGTTATCCCTCAAGATAGATAAAACTTGTCTTAGATGTCCAAGATGCTCACCTAAAGTATTGCTATACACCAATATGTCATCAAAGTAGATGACAACAAACCTTCCTATATGGTCCCTTAGGACATGATTCATTAATCTCATGAAAGTACTAGGTGCATTCCATAAGGTATGACTAACCATTCATAAAGTCTAAATTTGATTTTAAAAGCGGTTTACCATTCATCTTCTTCATGAATCCTTATTTGATGGTAACCACTCTTAAGATATATTTTGCAAAATATGCATGCACAATGAAGCTCATCTAGCATGTCATCAAGCCTTGAGATGAGGTGCCTATATTTGATGGTGATATTATTAATGGCCCTAGAATCGATATACATTCTCCATTTGCCATCTTTTTTGGGCACTAATAGGATAAGGACAACACAAAGACAAAGGGTCTTTTGAACCCAACCTTTCTTCAACAAGTCATTAACTTAAGCTTCTATTTCTCTGGTTTCTTGGGGATTAGTCCTACAGCCTTGTCTATTTGGTAGACTTGCCCCCAGTATGAGATCTATTTGATGTTTTATCCTTCTTAAAGGTGGAAGTCCACTTGGGTCTTCTTGAGGAAATAGGTCATCAAACTTTTTTAGAAGCTTTTGAACCCCTTGTGGTAGAGACTCAAGTTTATGACTAGTGGTAGTGAGTGTCTCATTGCAATAGAGAAGGTATAAAAGTTGATTAAGCAAAAGTGTTTCCTTGATGTCATTTTTAATTGAAAGATGACTTTTGTGAACAACTTTTTTAGAGGAGTGATGAGTCATTATTTTCCCTTATTTTCTCACCTTTCTGTACTTATTTTAATCTTCGATTTGTGCTTAATTGTTGATGTTCTGAACTGTTTTCTATTTGGGCTTTAATTGGACCGGTAATTCATATTTTAACTAATTTGAATTTTCTGAATCTAATTATTCCAAGTTTTATTTTCAGGGCA